CGCCGCCTCCCGCCGCTCCGGCGGGGCCGCGCGCTCCTTCCACTCACCAGGTGAAGACTTTGCCTTTTACCCCGCGCAGCAGGCTGCCGAACGCGCCCGCCGCTCCCCGCGTGCCAGGCTGCGGGGCGCCGGGTCCCGCCGGCGAGGCTGCCTCCATGGGGGTCCCTGCGAGTCTGCGGCGCCCGGAATCCCCCGAAGTGCCGGGGCCCGGAAGACGGGAGGCGGCGCCTGTGCAGCCGGCAGGGACTCGGCTCGGCCCGGCGCTCGCGCTCGCTCGCTCGCGTCCCTCTCGCTCCTCGGCCTGGCTCCTGCGACAAATCATTAACTGTCAAGCCCCAAGGGCCACACAATACATTTGCAGATTCCCACGTGGCACCTCCGGGGTAGCAGGAGGAGAAAGGGCTTTTTTTTTTTTTTTTTTTTTCTCTCGCCTTGCCAGTCGAGCCTCGGTGTTGGGTGACACCCAATGTGCATTTCAGGTTTTTACGGTTCCTTGTTTGAAATCAGCAAATGCGGTGATCCGAGGCTATGACTGATTCCCAAGGTTTCCCAGTCGAGGAAGCAGTGGATTAGCAACCGCCTGAACTTTGCTAACTAGAACAACTGCGGACCCCTCCCCTGATCTGCCAGTCTCCCTCCCTCTGATAGATTTATCGAGATAGCCCCATCTAAAGGAACTGAGAATGGTAAACAAGTAAACAAAAAAGAAAGAAAGAAAGACACAACAATCACAATAATTCTTTGAACTTTCAAAAGGAGAAAACAAGCTGAGGCCACCAGAGGTGGGAAAGTGGGAGGGGGGTTAGCGAGAAATTCCTAAAGGGCCACAAAAAAAAAAAAAATGATTACATTTTGTAATGACAACTACAGTAAATATCCTGACTTGAATGTCACGTGTTAAAGATCAATAAATATTAAAAATAAATTAATTTTAAAAGAACCGAAGACGCTTCAGTTCTGTTTCGTTTCCTTGCAAAACATGGGTAAGATCCTAAAAGGATCCTGGAAACATGATTTTGGGGCGTGGAGCCAGGCGCGTCTCCTTCCTTGCGGGTGTGTTGGGTTTGCCTGTTAGTACCCAATTGTCTCCGCGGTGCCCGGGACAAAGACTGTGTCAAGCCCTGGCGCTCGGCCAGGATGCCCTGGTTCGGGCCACGCCTTCCGAAGCTTCCGCGGACCAAGGAGGGACTCCGAGACCGAAAAGTGCCCGACTCTCACTGACAGAAGGAAGTCGGGGGGTCTAGTCGACCCCCTGCTTCCGGAAAGGGGGAGATCAGGAAGACAAAAGAAGAGGTGTTAGGACCATGTTTTTCTCCTGTCCACCTCCTTGCGGGGAGAGGGGGACTCAGAATAAACGTATGTTCAAGAAGACAGTCAGTGCTGCTGAGCTGGCAGTTCCGTAAGAAGACTCTAAGAAAAAAAGTATTTTGAGAAATGAAATGTAGCTTCAGAAACCCCAAGTTTAGCAGCTACAAGAACCCCAAAGTTTATTTATTTATTTATTTTTTCTTTTTGTCTTTTTTCGTGACCGGCAACAGATCACAACCCTCAGTGTCGCGCCTGTTCCGGACGGGGACCGGCAACACAATCGCAACCCTCGGTGCTGCGCCCGCCCCTCGCTGAGCCAGTGAGCGGTGGTCTGTATGTGGGATCCGAACCCTCGGCGGGAGCCCGGCCACACTCCCAAGCGGCGCACTGTAGCAGTGCGCCACCAGGCCGGCCCATGAACCCCAAAGTTTAAATGAAATATTTTTTTTTAATTGTAGAAATGAGATGGGGGCGGAAACACTGAAAATTAAGAACACGGTCATCGATACGAGACTGATTGAATGTTATAGTACAACCACATCATGAAACATTACGGATCCATTAGAAGCAAATTTAATATGGTCCCATTTTTGTAAAACAAGCAGCCTATTGAACCCTACCTGTTGACGATGTTGAATTTTACCTGAGCCCTGTACTCCTAGAAAATAGTGATGGTTAAGAAACCTCCCACGTTTTGTGTTCCCATAAATGGCTCAGTGCAAAGAAAACACCTTTCCCTTATCATTCAGTTAAGACCCAAGGATGCCCACTTGTTACCTTGGACAAGGCTAAACACAAACCTCCCGAAGTCCCAATTTTTTTTTTTTTTTTTAAAGACGACCGGTAAGGGGATTTTAACTCTTGACTTGGTGTTGTCAGCACCAGCTCTCCCAAGTGATCTAACCGGCCATCCGTATATAGGGATCCAAACCCGTGGCCTTGGTGTTATCAGCACCACAGAGGCTGGCCTTCAAAGTCCTATTCTTTGCTTCAGAAATGATTGGCTGAACTGCTTGTCCCCACTGGCCAATAGGAACAAAATGCGTATGCAAATTTTGGTTGTTTCCATCCTCTTCCCCCTCCCGCTCCATGAACCTTCACCCATACTCAACCTAAGCCAGCATGACCCCTCCCTACAGCCCCTCCTGAGAAAAGGCTGGACAGGGTGAAACGTTCTCAGATCTACTACCCAATCAAATCACCCTTTCATTTCACTTCCCCACAGGCGGGGAATGTCCCCCTCCTCCTATTAAAATAACCCTTCCCCAGTCCCCACTTGCAGTCATCTTTTCAAATAAAGTCTCTCCTTAACTAAGTCAGATTCGGTTTTTGATTTGACACTAAATATATGGTTATGTGAGTACGGAGAAAAGTATAGGATACGTGTAAACACAAGTAACCTTAAAAGAGGGTGGAGATGCAGAAAGCAGGAAGAAAAAGAAAACTGCACTTAAAAAAGAACAGCATCAGTATGTATGATCATAGTTTCTTTTATGTAAGGTGTGTGCTTTCGTATAAATACGTGAGATTAAAAGATTGATTTAGATGTTGTAATGTTTCCCCAAAATACCCAGGCCCTAATCTCTAGAACCTGTGAATGTTACCTTATGTGGTGTTAAATAAAATTTATAGGAGGCCATTGGTTTGGATTGAGCTCCTTGTACCAGGCCCAACAGACCAAACCAATTAAGATCTTTAAATTTGTTGTAATTTTCTCTTTTGACAGTGGCAAAAGGAACTTTGCAGATGTAATTAAGCTACACACTATGAGATGGGGAGATTATTCTCAATTATCCAATGGGCCATAAGGTAATCAGGCAGCCACTAGAAGTTCAGAGCCTATAGAAGTTACTCCTGCTGACTTTAGACTTGACCAAAGCCCAGTGAAACTGATTTTGGAATTCTGACTGTTAACCAGACTCAGGTCCGGCTGCCCGCCCCCTTGAAAAGGAAAGAAAAAAACTCAGAAGTCAAATGGTTGGTGTTAGAAAAGCAGATGTATTCAGCTGAGGGAGATGGTAGGCTATCCCAACTCAAAGATTTACATTTACTGAGGGGGTTTTAAAGGAAGGCTTGAGGGAATGGAATGTGGGAGGTGAGAAGCAGCAGAGGAGATGTGAGTTACGAGGGGTCCGTTTCTGTGGGTCAGGTACAAGGTCTTGCCAAGGCCTCATCTGGCTTCTGCTCTCATCTTTGCTGCAGGACCCTGCAACGTTTTGATTTGCGCAGGTGCACTTGGCTGGTGCCCAAGGTCAGCTTCAGTCATTTGGCCTTGGTCATTTCTCAAAACTCCACAAGTCTCAAAGAAAGAACTGTTAGCTTTGCAAAGAAATAATTAGCTTCTCAGCCTTGTTTTCCTACTTAGCAATTGAGATAAGAAAGTCAGGGGATGGGAAGAGAGAGTGGAGAGAAATAAAACTGTCCTTTTTAAAATCCTCCCGTCCTCTGTAGCCCAGGCAGCTTTAGGTCCCAACAAGGCTTCAGTCCTGCTCACTCCAACATGACCTCCAGAACTGTAAGAGGATAAATTTGTGTTGTCTTAAGCCACTAAATTGGTGGTAATTTATTACAGCAGCCTTAGGAAACAAATGCAGATGTATAAACACTAATTTATAGAGCTCATGATATACTGTCAAGTGAAATAAACAAGTTACAGAGTAATTGTGTAATATAATACCATTTTAATAAAAGCCACCAGTTAAATAACTAAATATCTTTATATATACATATACATCTGTAGACACATTTAGGCTTGCTTGTGTTTATATAAGCGAGAAGGGTGTAGAAAAACACATACCAGGCATGATTTTTTTTTTTTAGTAAATCTAGTCAACCACTGATCTGGATTCTAAAGTTAAGGACAGAGTTACATATATTTTGCAAACACAACATCCTCCTCAAAAAGTAGGAGGAGTAGTACTGGCCTGGCATTGCTCCAAAATGAGCTCATCCCCCTACTGAGGAAGATTGATCAGTCTATGTTATTTTGGTATCAGGACTAAAATACATTGAGTGGATCTGTGGGCACCAATCCAACAAGTTTTTATCAAAGGAAATTCACTGGGAAAAAATATATAGGTGTTGGGAATTTTGCACATAATAACCTTACTTCTTATGAGTACAAAAAAGCAGCTACCACTTATCGAGTACCTCCTGTGTGCCACACACTTTTTGTTCTCTATTGCATGTATCAAATCACCCCGAATCTTAGTGGCTTCAAACAACAATCATTTTATTATCTCTTGAGATTTCTGTGGGTCAGGAATTTAGGAAGGTATGCACCACGTGGTTGTGGCTCAATGTCTCTTAGATGGTTGCAGTCAGGAGGTAGCTGAAGCTAGAAGGCAGGGGATAGAGTGGGAGATTTGGGCTGGAGTATCTCAGCCTGACCATGTGGTCTCTTTCTGTGGGCTAATTTGGGTTTCCTCACAGCCTGGTGACTTCAGGGTAGTTGACACGCTTACATGACCATTGGTCCCCACAACCCCAAGCAAGTACCACAGAGAAAAAAAGCTAAAAAGCATATTGTCAGGCTGGCCAGTTAGCTCAGTTGGTTAGAGCTCGTGTCATAACACCAAGGTCAAGGGTTCAGATCCCCATACTGTTCAGCACTGACCAAAGAAAAAGCGTATTGTCAATGTCCTCCAACCAAAGACCACCATGAATATATATGTACTTAAACAAGTTGGACATATTACACCTTGCAATGGAAGAGAATACACAGCAGGGGGAGCATGGATGTCTCAGTAAGAGGGTGTTAGAAAGAACATGTAAGTTTTGGGCTTTGGTTGAATGATATGAGGGAGGGATTAAGGAAGCAGGGATTCACCCTAGATTGGATGCTGTCAG